GCGATGCTCGTCATCAGAGTATAGCCACCCCTGAAACAATTGCATTCGATCAACATTTATTTCTCAATTCAATTTAAATTGAATAATTGAAAAAGAAAACTTACGCAAACGGGATTCCGTCTTCCAAGAAGTAGACGCTGTCGTAGCCCGTCTCCAACCTGGTTCGCAGGGCCCTCAGGGCAAATCTCGATCCCGAGGGACCCGACAAGTTGTAGTCAACGGTTTGACTGTTGGGATAAGGGTCCGGGTGGTTCGGTGACGAAACGAACCCGTATTGTTTTGAAGCACCCGGTTGCACCTTTGTGTGCAATTGCGTCACGTCCCCGTTGGTCGTGATTTCTCCGGTTTCGGTGTTGATGTTGATCACTTCCACGGAATTCGGTTCGTAAATGCCGGGACCGCTTTTGTCTTCTACCTCGATTTGCTCATCTGAGCAAAGAAAAATTACCTTGAAATTCTCATGGCAGGCAGAGGAAATCTTCGTGAAAAATGCTCATCATTTTTTTTAGCAGCCATCAGAAATGAATCGAGGATATTGTGTGACACTGAACCGTGCTGGAGATCGTTTCGAACGATGAACTTGAAGATAATAAAGCATTCGAATTCGCGTGAAGTTTTTCGAGTGATCGCCTCTCAAATGAGATGATCATTTCTCTGAAGACTCGACAGTTTTTATTGCGCTAAACATTTTTGTTACGCTAAACAAAATATGATTGCGTAATAAACAGATTATGGTGAATCACCAGGAAGAATATTCGGAGACTCCCATTTTTACCCCGAGGGAATATCAGAAATGCATTAGTTGAACGAAAACCTTTTATTATGTTTTCAAGGGATTCTCAAATTTCGACAGAATTTTGCAAGGATAAAACTACACCAGGAATGCTTATCTAACTTTTATGAGAAACGCAGCGAATACATTTATTTCATCAGGAGTTTCAAATTCTTTCAAAACTAACCAACAAGAAGATAGGCTTTAGAATTTGAAAAGCCTCACATCACCATTTTTAAAAAACAACATTTCAAGTTTCTTCCTGATCCACAAATCCTTTCAAGTCTTGGAAAAATAAGCGTCTATCCATGTCCTGTAAAAATCATAGAAACTGATTTGCAAATGTATCCAGTTTATTGAATTATTGTCAAGATTTTTTGTCAAAAAGAATATTGATGGAATTTTTCCACGGTTTTCCGTTCGAATTGAAGGGATATTTTTCTTAACGTCGTCGTCAGGACGATCCTCGAGAGAAAATGTTTGTTTCTTATTCTACCCTAATGACAATTTATGAGAGATTTTTTCAATTGCTTTTGAGGAATTTATTCCCATGGCTTTAATTAAGTTTTTGCGGTTTTTTAATGGTAGAAAGATAGTTACCTTTGGTGTTACGAGGCAGTTCAGCAGCATATGCAACCAAGTAACCAATATCAGTTTCCGCAGAGTCGCTTTGCAGGAAAACCGTGGCATTGTTTCCCGCCAATAATAATGGCAGGAACAAGTCTGAGATTCCCGACAACCTAAATCAAAGATCTTCAGTTTGGTTCATGCTAAAAATGAAAAAATTTTGCCTTTTCGTCGTCCTCGNAGCAATGAAAACGAAGAAATTCTGCTGTATAATGAAGCAAGTAAATTTTTTTATTTGAAAAATGTGGCTTCCAGTGAAAGGTGAACCCAAGATGGAACTCGAACCGAATGATGTTCACAACAAACTTTTACATTTCTTTTTCTAATTAGGAAGGCTGACAATAACCAAATGAGCCAACCCATACTGTTCATGACTGGTCTTGGCTTTTTCGAAGCTGGTCACATCATAAAATGACGTTTGAAAAATCACATGACGTTTGCCTATATTTTGACTCACTGTTCAACGTATTCCAAATCCGGTGCCGTGTCTCGGACTTCCAGTTGAACGTAGTCTCCATAGATTGTTCGGAGTTGTAGGAAACCCAGCCTCACGCTGTCGATACTGTCACTGTTGACAGATAGGTCTTGTCCACAGTCCCTGGCTGCCACAGAATTCGGGTATCGGCCTGGGTACCCCGGACTCGCTATGAACCCGTGGTCCGTTTCTTGGGTCAACACGATGCTTTCTGGACAAAAGGAAATTGATGCCGCCAGAAAAAAAAAGTTTCAGAATATTTTGATCTGTTCAAGCTCAAAACCAAATGTAAAAACCTCAGACTTCATGTATGGAATCTTTCTGAACGTGAAACATTCATAGCCAAGTTGATTATCTTCCTGCTGGTGTGCTTTGTGAAAAAAAAAATCTGGGAACAAATGTTCTTATTTTGTCTGAAACTAAAATGAGAACAAAATTCTATGTTCCATTGTTTTTGGTCATTATTTGCGTGGGCCGAGAGAAAATATACGAATAAGGCCTTGGGCTGTAAATTTATAGTTCTAACGTGAACTGTCACGCGTAACTTTTCTCTAAAAGAGATGAGTATTTGTTGAATAACTGCAGCTGCATTTTCCAAAGCATGATATGTCTTAAATTTTGCAAGTTTACGATGCTCATGGTGCCATTTTCTCTGACATTTTTTATTGGTATCTCTAATTTTCGCAATTAAAAAAATTATTCCTTCACATTGCCGCATGCTGTTCCGTGTGTAATATGAATGATTCATTAAAAAAACATTTATTCACGTTAACTGTAAATGCGACAGGTTTGGAGTATTGTGGCTGTCTGACAGAGAAAGCTTTCATAATCATGTATCATAATCGTAACTTTCTGAGGCAATTCACGTGTGTCATTCCACGTTCATATAATTTGGCTTTTGCATATAAGCACATGTAAAACGACCGACCTGGATTTTTTATTTCAGTGAATTTTATTTGGTCATCTGATGAATTTCGATCAGAGAATATAATTTTTCTCACCGATTCCGCCGCAAACATCTCGGCTTTCTGCTTTGTTTTCTGCAATCGTGGATGAAATCTGCAATTAAAATTATTCATTTATTAAAAAGAACCGCTCGAACATGCTTCGAAACTGAAAAACTCTACTCACTCTGTTGGTATAAGCTGGGACAGCAGAAAGTCCAATGCAAATGGCAATGAAAGTTAAAGTCACCATATTTTCTAAGTATTTACCGAATACAGTACAGCATAGGATAAATAAGCCAATTCGAGGACTACTCTGTTCTTATATTTGCTAAATTTGAGCGTGACGATGATATTTCCTTTTTTTCTCTTCGCTGAAGCGAAACGGCTATATATGAATGACAATGCCGAATTTGAAGTTTTCTGTCGGCAAAAATACGCTGATATCTCTGATGCGTTATAATGCGATGCCTTTATGCGCATTATCTTCAAGTTCCCATAAAATTGTTTTTATCGATTTTTATTACACTTTAATTCGGGGAATTTTTCCGAAGTTTTGTGAACAGTGTACCTTGAAACGAAGTTTTAGGTGCCCACGTTTTTGAGTCCGAATCTGTCAAGTTGTTTTGGAATCGAGATCAATACTTAGAGTAAACCTCTTGAGTATCCCTAATTGTTCTTTTTTCGCTAATTGCTGCTTTCTCAGCATCCCTGTGAGTCAGACAATTTCTAAATTAAACATAATTTTCATATGCTGTCGGCAGGGAAATTTTGGAATGATTTCAAATACTTTTTGGAATGTTTCCTGCCTTCCAATTAATGCACAGTGTGTGTTTGATGGACTGATTTTCCTCAAAGTACTTCGTGTGTTTTTTTCATCTGTTGATTTTCTGACCGACTTTATCATCTGGGTGAGAAAAACTTGAAAAAAGAGTCAAGATGGTCATATAACACTCTGTGAAAATTGTATCCGTATCCGTAAATATGGACTCCAACGAATGATTGAAAAGCGTGTTATTAAAAAAAAAAACTTCTCTCGAAATGTCACATAGCATTAATTTTACCGTTAGGTGTACACATTGCACACCTAGCATGCCACACTGTATTATTTTAGCTACTAAGTATAAATACAATTTGAAAGCACCATGCGGTAAAATGATATGTTACTTATATATGTAAAATACGATTCCACACAGTTTATTGAAAGCAGAATAGAATATTATTGTAGAATATTATTATTGGGTACAGTTGATACATTTTCATATGCTGTACGAGGGTTCTAACAGAAGTTCTCGGAATGAAAATGAAAATGGCGTCTGATCGAGCTGAAAAAATTATTCTTTAAGGCAAACATATTCTTCGGCACACAAAAAAATCAGCCCTGTTTGACAATTTTTTTCAAGGTTTTGCAAAATTCACCCTGGTAGAGTTTTGCTATACACTCAACAGATGAGGCACCCTTCCTGCAGTTTTTTTTTTT